TGATTAAGTTCATACTTAAAGGAACTTTTTCTACTTCACATAAGAGTGATGATTTATTGTTAATTTTGAAAAACTGAAAACTAAACAAAAATATTACTTTCTTCTAATGATACAACAGATGATCATTTCTTTTCATACTCTACATGTACCTACATAATTTTTACCCTAATAAATAATAATGAATTGTTTGGGTCTAAATAATATTATTACTCTATGCCTCTTAATACATTTAGTTATTATAGACTTGCTTAATATATTTATTAATAAATATATATAATAAATATATATTTATTTTAATATATTGATTAACCATAACAAAATAGGTTTATTCTTTGTTTATAGTTTTTGTTTATATGTACAAAAGTAAGACTGAGTTGTATACAAAATTACATACTCGTGGAAAAAAGGAACAATCTATTATATTTTTCAAAAATAAAAACATAATTGGTGAAATTAGACTCTTGTTGTCGAATCACAATTATGGTAATTATTATGAAAAAAGCATGCCGAAAGGAGTTATTCAAAGAAATCATTGTCGTGTTTACAATTGTTTATCATTATAAAATAGTTGATGATTTTTGTTGTAACTATTGCATACAACTTTTGGTATTATAAAATTAAATAAAAATTATTGAATATGAAATATGCATAAAAATTAAAAATCCAGAAAATATGCATTTCTATGCATATATTGGCGTATAATGTAGTTTAATAATAATTTCAGTTGGAGAAGATAATCTTGCCTGTCATTTTATTTATCTTAATTTCTTAACCCAAACCAGTGCAATATTCAATTATATACAATACACAATTATCTTTTAATATTTACCATTGAACATAACTCCTTATCATCATGTTAGCACTTAATGTGTTCAATCATTTATAATAATTTGATTTACCGTAAGAATACCAATTGTAATTGTAATATTGTTTGTATATAATTAAAAATGTTATTGTTTCGTTCAATAGTTTTTGGCGTCATAGATGTCGATTAAAAAAAAAAAAAAAGTGATACTTTAAAAAATGCATAACAATATGTTTTATGAAATGACTATTTTGCAATGGTATACAAGTAGAAATGAAAAATGAAAAAAATATTTTTAAAGCATTTATAAGATGAAAATACAAATTAGATAACATGTTTTTTTGTAACGTTTTTCAATGAAATAATATTAAAACAAAAAAAAATTGAAATAAAAACTATCTCATATGATGATATTTCCTTTAAGAAAATATGCTTATCCACCAGTGTACGCGAATGTTTACAATTTTGAAAACGTCTATAAAGACTTCTATTTTGTTAGTTTTTATATTTAGTGATTACCAAAAATATATCAATAAATCATAATAGAGCATTTTATACAAATGTACATTAGGTTTTAAAATTTAAATATATTTATATTTTTGAGTGTTCATTGAAATTACTTTTTAGTATTTATTTAATTCTTGTTATCAACTTATTTTCTTACGAACTTATAACAAATTAGTGTATTTGATTAGACACACTAATTCAAGTATTTTTTAAGTATAATACTATTTCTACAATAATTACGTATTATGTACCTACTGTATTATGTGGTTCAATATAAAATAATGTAGTGTAAAAAGAATATCGATTTAATACATGTCTTGCCGAGTGGTTTTGTGTATAGCTTTTACACAAAATAGTCTAATGATTTATTCCATACGTTGCAACATCCAAAGCTTTAGAAACACATTGAGTCGTATCCTTTCCTGACCTTTTGAAAAATGGATTTAGCATTACACTATACATAGTAAACAGTTTGTGTGTTTATACATTATATCAACATTGCGTTCTATAAAAACATAACACGCACATATTGAATTACGTAAGTGTTAGAGCAAATCAACTATATTTTGTTACTATATTCAATATTTTGATTGTATTTTTTTCGTCATATGGAGGGAATTTTTTAAAGAACGAGTAAATAAAAAAATAATAGTTTTTGGATCGTTACAACCATTCACAGCTAGGATAATCCAGAAATATTGAAATATTATCCGAATTTAATATAGAAATATATTATTCAAATAATATTGACGGCACGTCTGGATTGCTAATTTCGTTCAAATACATTTATATACTACAATTATGTTGCATACAGTGCCGCAAAAACAGAGTGTGCAGAGTGTGCCGTGCACACGGACCCCAAGGCTTACATACATTTGGGGGGCCCCCTAGTTCCAGCCTAAAATAAACTAGACTTTACAAACACACAATTATTTAATAATATTATATTAATATCTTATAATAAAAAGAAACTTTTTTTAAAATTCAGGTAAGGATGTTATAATATTTAAGAGTAATTTAATATTTATTTAAAAATGAGTCCATTGAGTATTTGAGTAGGCGCACAACATACCTACCTAAACTACTTAAATAAATTTACTACATTAGAATATAGTGAAATAAATTATACAACAGTTTTAGGTATTTAATTTGATATATATACATATATCATACACTAAGTGATGTGAAACGTTTTTTAAGACCTAAAAAAATTGATACTTATAAATAAGACGTACAACAAAAATAAATGAAAAATCTTCATAACTCAGGAATGCGCCTGGCAATAGGAGCTTTCCGATCCAGCCCTATAGACAGCATATCCAATATAGCAGGAATACCCTCCCTATCACTAAGATGGGCTGAGCAAAAATCACTACTGACAGCCAGAATCCATAGATCCCCACAAAGAATCTCCACATCTCCCAATAATCTATTCACAAATTTACAAGACAAATTGAACCTAGATCAGATCATACCATCAACTATCAGCCTTCAGCCACCTTGGACAATCTCCCTAGATATCAATCTCGAACTACATCAGCTCCCCAAAAAGGACACTAATCCTAAAATATATAAATACCATTTTAATGAAATCATAGCCAATGCCGAACCTCATATACAGATATACACAGACGCATCCATAACAGATCAGAGTTGGGGCTGCAATCATATATGGCGACACCCAAATCCAACTTAAACTATCTGACAAATGTTCAATATATACCGCTGAAGCCATGGCTATACTAGAAGCAATCAAATATTTCATACAATCCATCGACGATAAACGCTGTATCATACTAAGCGAATCACTCAGTGTAATAACAAGCCTCAAAAATATAAATAACCCTACCGATATAGCTAGAAATATTCAAAACTTTTGTCACATTGCACGTTCCGCCGGAAAACACATATCCTTCATGTGGATTCCAGGACATTGCAATATAACAGGTAATAAAAAAGTCGACGAGGTCGCAAAACTTTCACACATATCACCCAAAGCTATCAATGTACCAGGATTCACCTACAGCGACGCAAAAAAATATATAAAAAATCTTAATGCCGTAAAGTGGCAACGATATTGGTCAAATCAATCAACCAAACTCAATAAAATAAAAAAATCAATACTCTCATGGTCTCCTCCTCCCGGTTGTTCCAGAAGACAAGAAACAATTTTAAACTGCCTAAGAATAGGCCGTACATTACTAACCCACCGCCACCTTATGACAAGAGAGGACCCCCCC